TCATGAAGACAAGTTGGGCATTGTTTGCATGGCGAATGGTCCAGCTCTATGTCTTATGTAAGATGGGTATAAGGATTCAAGAACTTGAAGATTCATAAACTATCTATATGGAATAAACTTGGGGTGGTGAGAGTACTTACATTGGTGGTTTGGTTTGCATATGACTGGATGAGATGACTAGTTTGTTTAGGTTTTATTACTATAGGTAGTTGTTGTAGTTGCTCGCCACGTGCTAGAGTCATAGGAGTTAGTGTCAATTCGTGCATTTTCTGTAATAATGTTTTTTTACTTAGGTCAATTCCTGCATTTTCTGAGATCTTGTCTTATACTTGGCTTTGAATAAATCTTGACGAACTACTTTTCCTACGGGAAGCGCTGCCGAAATTTCTACAAATCCAAGAAGTGAGTCAACTTTTGACTTGTCAGAGTTCAACTTGTCTTTTCTATATATGAATTAGTATAAATATGGAAAGTCCCCTTTTCTAGAGGGAGTGCTGCCCAAATTTTTACTAATTCAGGGAGTTAGACAAAATTGGACTTTTAGAAGTCAAAGTTATTCTCAAATTCTGGACCTCGCTTTGTATAAATTTTGGGAGAGCACTTTTTTAGAGGGAGTGCTGCCGAAATTTATGCAAAATTAAGGAGTTAGTTAAATTCAGTCTAAAAGTTGAGCTCGAGCTGTTGTTCGAGTTCGTATCTGACTTAGTATAAATATGGGAAGTCTCCCTTTCTGAAGGGAGTGCTGCCCAAATTTCTACTAATTCAGAGAGTTAGACAGAATTTGACTTTCCAGAGTTAGAGATTAATTCTGCATTCATATCTGACTTANTAAAAGGGAGTGCTGCCCAAATTTCTACTAATTCAGAGAGTTAGACAGAATTTGACTTTCCAGAGTTAGACAGAATTTGACTTTCCAGAGTTAGACAAAATTTGACTTTCTAGAGTTAGAGATTAATTCTGCTTTCATATCTGACTTAGTATAAATCTGGGAAGTGTTCTTTCTAAAGGGAGTGCTGCCCAAATTTCTACTAATTCAGAGAGTTAGACAAAATTTAACTTTTCAGAGTTAAAGATTATTTCTGCTCTCATATCTGGGCTTATATAAATTATGAAAAAACACTTTTCTTACGGGAAACGCTGCCAAAATTTTCTTAGTTTAGAGAAGATAGATGATATTTTGATAGGTGATTCAGGCGATCCGCCCAGAATAGGGGAGTTTTTGCAGTTGGTTTACCTTCAGCTTAAGCACTGACTTAAAAGTAGACTTAGGTTTAACTTACAATGAAATTTTGAGTGAGGATGTATTATGGAGTTGTATTCTCCATACACTTATGATCTTAGCTTGGGGATTGGTCTGCCGTGTGTTACAGGTCCTTTTGATCATTTGATCCAAGTTCAGGGCTAGATTCAGCTTGATCCCTTGAGGATCACTTACTGTTATCACTGATAACAGGTCGGTAACCGATTCGTCGGTCTACGACTCAATTTCAACTGTCCCTCTACACTCAACCTAAAAGGCTTTAGCCCTGGTGATTTCGTTGTTTTATTAAGGTTTTACCCGGACTTTTATTGAATGGCTATTTAACAAAGGTGCTGAGTATTTAATTAAGGTTGGTTGGACATGAGGTTTGGGGCTTGCATGGCTAAAGCGAGGGGTATGAGTGTCGAAGGTGGTTGGGGTTGACTTCGTGTAGTGTGTAGGCTGTTGATTAGGTTCGTTGATGTGATGGCAGGTATGTGCTGTGAATCAGATTCTGGATTTGGTTGCCTACGATCACACATATACGTATTATTGTGAGAGACCCTAGTGAAACCATGAGAAATGATCGTCACATACTTAACCCTTATATATGTATACATGGGTATACTTGAGATGAATGTTTGCATGGGTTGAAGAGCGCCTACATTAGAGCCCTAATCAGAAGCTGAGACTGAGGGGCTTAGGGGAGGTCTCTCCTTCTATTTTTGTTCTTGTTTCTTTTTGATGATTTTCTTAGTCGGACGTTTGGTCCTGGGCCGGGATTCGAGGTCCTTGTCCAGGACACCCCAAGCCCTAGGCTCTGAAGGGGAGGGGTTTTCCCTCGCGCAGAGTCTATTTGATTTGCCTTCCGAGACACTCAGGTCGAGAGCCTAAGGTGCAGCGGCGGCTGCACGACTATTCCTTCAGCCGTGCAATGTCGTGAAGGGTTAGACCCTCACGGCACTTCAAGTCTGATACTTGAGTGTCATAAGCGGTATTCTGATCCACGAGGGACCGCTTGATTATGGGCACTACATAGTACGCCATCATTGCGACTGCTTGGGTACGCCTGCATTGCAAGTCGATATGAGTAAGCCCTGCGTCCGCACGGTTTTATACTAAGTTTAGCGCACTACGCCTATCCGATTTCCACATTGGAAAGTTATGGGTTGGCTACCGAGGGGCTAGGAGCGTTGTCGCGTTGTTGGTATTGTGTTATTTCGTATATATGTTGTTTTGTGTGTATGTGTGTTCGTAAAGTGGAGTGCGCGTGGTGTGTGGGATGCGTCCTGGTCAACCGACGATGAGTCGCGCATGGGACCTCAGCCCCCCCAAGGTGTCGGTTCGCGTGCGGGTCCGATAGAGGCGTGTTACCGCGCGTACCCCCTATGCTACAGCGAACGAGAAACGCCATCGGCTGGTCCACCTCTGCGATTGCAACTGATTAACTTTCGTACTGTGGACTGGTAGCTCGGCGGGGATACGCCCACCGAAGGGAGGTGACAACTCCCGTAAGGTGTAGGTAAGTCGTGCCTCACGTAGGCCCTATCCTGTCATA